TCGACTTGCTATACTTTTTTTTTTTAAACATAATATATATAAAAATAATAATGAGGAGCAAATTAAATTGAAATAATGGCTACAAATTAGAGGCACATAACAAGGAGAGAATGAGTTGGGAATATGAATATTTTTGATTTTGTGATTATGAATAATAATTATATACTCCCTATATTTAAAGCATAATTATTCCGTATAATGACCTCCGGCGAAACTTGTGGAGCCCAGCTCGTGGCCGCATGCCTGCTGTTTGATTACTTGATTATTTCATCTATTTATTATTATTATTATTATTATTATTATTATTATTATTATTATTATTATTATTATTATTATTATTATTATTATTATTATTTATTTTATTATTACTACTTTATGTAAATTTATTTTTTTCATTGAACTTTAGAATTTCACCACGATGCTTCTTCCCAATATAAAAAAAAATACTATTTATGATGATCAAGTTTATCATCCACCTATTCCGAGCCTCTCTCATGATCCAAGCAAAGACCAATTAACTCCATATTATATATAGCTTATCAGCTCAATTATAAGGGCAATCGTTGTAACAGACATAATCGTTAGCCGGATGAACCTGTCATATTATTTACGTGAGATGACTCGTTGTAACAGTGTTTATGTTACGAAATGTTATACTTTCATTTATGTTGTTTTTTAAAGTATGCCATTTTTTTTTTCAATATATATATATATATATATATATATATTTAACATCATAAGAGCAATATATGATAAGCAACTTATAGGTGTTTATCATTAATGTTTCAAGTACTCTGTCACTTGTACTCTCATGGGAAATGTAAGGGCTTTAGGTGCAAATCATGATGTTCTTATACGAGAGCAATCAAATAACATGGCTTATGGAGTTATTCCCAAAATGTCGATATGTCAACTGAACGATGGTACAATAAGAGTGGCTTCATAGAATTTCTGTTATTCCCAAAATGTCGATATATCAATTGATCGATGGTACAATAAGAGAGTCGTGCCCTAGTTCTATAGAATTTTTAGCAAATCATCTTTCTTAATAAAAATACATACATACATATGTGTGTGTATAATTACTGACTATTCGATTGATGTTATTTTTAAAAAAAATCCGCCCATCTAACTATGAAACTAACAATTGAGTTTTGAATTAACTAAATATTGTAGCAATATTTTTGTTAACTATTTTTTTATATAATAATTAATACTAATATTAGCTAATTATAAATTTACATTCAAATGTTGTGGAAGTTACACATTAAAAAAAAAATATTGCAAAATATTTTCTTCAAGAAAAATGCATATAGATGAGAGAGACTTTTCACTTGTTTGAATGAATGTAGGTTGATAAGCCCAATTAACATCTCTCCATGTCTCAAATTTTACTATTAATAGGAAAAAAAAAAGTGCAATAACCCTAATAAAATAAAATCATGCATATCTTGATTTTGTAGCCAAACTGAACAAGTTTTGAGACCTCACGTGTGTGTACAGGTTTCATCTTCATTTGACAAAATCTTTATAGGACATAAATAGATTAGCTGTTCTAGGATAATTACAACAATTTTATTGTTGTTATCATCCGACTCGGCAAGACGCTGTTAAAAGGTTTTAAGCATCCTATTAAATACGATTAAACTGTCAAACCGACGTGAATCAGAACTGCACCGATCTACACCAAAGGACCGGTCTGAACCACCAAAGACCGAAGTGATCAACGATTACCGAGGTCAACATCCACCGAGGACCGAGGTCGTCACCTCCTTAAGCAGGTGACAAGGCATCTACGAGGGACTCTCCTGCTCCACAAGATCTGTCATCATTTACGTGGGGCCCCCTGCCTCAAGCCGCCCAT